GCCTTATTAATAAAACACCTAGGAAACCACCGACGTGTTTAATATAGAAAAGAATAAAAGAAAGTTTGGATCCACGTGGTTTTATGATTTCGGAGATAAGATATTCACGTATCATAAAATAATTGGAATGAAAGGGTGTGGGAAATTTTTGTCTCTTCTTTCTTGGGGCAAGATATTCTTTTTTAGGAAAATTAAATCATCTCTTCTTCATTTTGATCGATTTTTTTTTGTCACTCTCGGATCAATCCATGCTAATTCCAAAAAAATAGATTTCCTTTTAATTAAAAATGTATTAACGCGCTTCTCGTGACGAGTGCGTGCTTGATTACATGCATGCATCTATTCGCGAGGCCATTGCATACGTGATGTTGATGCTGGATATGTGTGCAATACATAACTTGTTATACACGCATTCTGATCCAATACAAGAGGTAAAAAGAGAGGACAGATTGTTTCAAAAAGTGACACATTATAATTTAAAGGTATATAATTAGTAAAGGAGGATTCAAACGCCTTGTTCTCTAAATTAGTTCACAATTTGTGTTCGACCATTTTATTATGAGGGATGAAATGATATAGGCCATTAAGATTTATTCGTGATTTATAATCGTAAATAAGGATTTTAATTCATAATTTTCGGTTAGATCAATGTCTATATTAAGATTTTTATTATTTATTTATCATTATCATTATTATTATTATTTAATATTTTTTACGGTGAGCAAAGCATTTGTAGATATTTACGCAAGAAAAAAGGCATTTTTTTCATTCATGCTTGTGCGAACTTTAATCCTCTTTTTGAATGAAGGAATGATCAATTGATAATCAATTCTAATTTCCAAAGATCAGTAATTTTTGTCATTCCCATTTCCTCGCACTTGTTACCGTTAATTTATGATTATTCTTCTTATCACTCGCTATTGTCTACTCTGTTCCTTCGGTGTTCACATGTTTAATTGATTTTTACTTCGCTGTCTTCCGATTTTCAATAACGCCAAAGAAACCTGTTATGGAAATATGTTATTCCGTTCGTTTAAAATGAAACCTTTGAACATGAAAAAAGGGGGGCCGAAATATTAAAATATCAATAACAACCGAGATTCGTTTCCTTATTCACTTTAGTTTCTTATCAATGTATGACTGGTTTATCTGTTCCATATTATTGGTGTTTCGGCTGTTAAATGAATGCAAGAATTCCTTCTTTTTTTTGTACTTTTAAACATAAAGGGAATTTAGCCTGTTAAAATGAATGCAAAAATTCCTTTTTTTTTTTTTTTTGTACTTGTAAACATAAAGGGAGCTTCGCTTTCTATGCTTCTTTGAATACCCCCGGTGAAAACAGTTAATTAAAAAACGTGGTTTAGGTAGTACAAAATCAAGATAATGTATATACTATAACTTTAACCTTAAATATGTATATTATACAATTTTTTTGTTATTAATTAATTTAAAAGTTACTAATTTAATGTGTTTAAAGTTGACCCAACACGGCATGGTATCACGAATCTAACTTCGTTTCAGCTGTCATTTGTGTATAAGCACGAGATCCTGTAGAAACGATCTCATCCGTGTGTAGCGTTGAAAAACGAGACGTACACCTGATTTTAATATTATCGTTATTAACAAGGTCTTATCTATTATCTACAGTATATTGCGAGTATTTCCGAATTGTTGCACAACTTCCTGATTTTTTTTCATCTGTTCCAGTAACGAAAAAATTTTTAATACATGACAATGTTTAGTATCCCTTCATACACACACATACACACAAAAAAAAACAAACCCTTCCTAATGAAAAAACTCCTATTATTCCGGACCAAATCTGCAGTTATCGTCATCACTTTTGATTGCCGTAGACTCCGTTTTAAGATATATCAAAGATGTTCGTTCAATTAATTAATACTAAACGAGATGTGCTGTTTCTGGGTATGTTCATTCATCTGAACCAAAAAAGGACAAATGTAACCCTAAAAATTTACCCCCACATATATACACACGCGGAAGAACTCTAAAAAAAACGAAAAAGGTTAATCTAAATCTACACATGACTCTGTCTTTGATAAAAAGTTCATCTATGATATTATTACATTGAAACGTGCTGATTGTTTGTTGTCATGCTTAGTAAATAATAATAAGAATATTTATTGTTTTTTCACGCATACTGTACACGTTAACCTCCCAAGTACAAAATTCCGACTTATCCTCGTGTATGCGTCAAAGCACACAGATATACAGATACAGTATATACAGTATGTATAGTTTTTAGTGCAATACTGGGATACACTATTTATTAATCGTCGGATTTTTTTCAAAAGACAAAAAAAAAAACCTTAGTTTACAGCCTATAGTATTTTATCCATTAAAAGAAATTTTTTTACGACCTCTAGTAGTCGGTAAATGTTCGATTTAAATTTTTTTAATTCATGAGTTGTAAATATACAGGACATTCCAATATCCATCACATTATTCTCAGAAGCGGAAAAATATACATAATGAATAAAGAGATTATGTCAAAACACCCTTAAATGTGAACACATTTCTTTATTAATTAATACTGTATTTATCGGGAAAAAATGTGACAATGAATACGGTTAAATAGTTTAACGATTTTAAATAATAATAAAAAACAAATAGTTAAAAACGATCAACGACTTTATTTACACACGCATTGTTAACGTAAACCATTCAAAAGATCGATTACACATACCATTCTGTATATTATAATGCATATGTACAGTACATTACGTGTTTTCACCTAATAAGATTATCATTAGGTATACCTTATTTAGTAAATTGTATCATGATGTGAAAATTGTATTATAATTTTTATATCTACAGTAAATCGCGCGCTTGATAAATATAACAACATGGAATGTTGAACAATAATCATAACAAATAAACGGTTACTTTCGGATCTACAGTATATCGTCATCGAGGCTAGAAAATGAAAAAAACCGACGTGTGTAATTTCATAAGAAAAATAATGAATAAAATTTTCATCATTTCTTATTTATGATGTTTTTTAAATTCAATATGCACAGTATCCACAGTATGCAGCATATACCGTGAATTTTATTTTAAAAAAAATCAATCGTATATATAAAAATGATCACCTGTTTTTTTTAAAAAAAAAAATGATACCATTGATTAAAAAATTATATATGATTGGATTTTTTGTCACTGATATAATTTTATTTTTCCGATACGATAACTCGCTTAATCACATACAAAATGTTAAAAAACAAAATCGTTACATCATATCAAATTTTTTTTAATATATACAGTATATGTATATGTACAGTATATACGTATATTCTTCCGAATCGAACTGCGAAAATAAAAACTTATTGTCTTATTGCTAAAAATGGATATAAAGATTTCGCTTCTATAGTTCTTATTTGCTTTATCAAAAATTTCTTAAATGTATAGATGTCATTTGGGTTTTATCAATCAAATTTACATATTTAGCGACTTTAATGATGACTTTTGATTCGAAATTACATATATACTGTATATATATTTTAATAGATACCAAACATGTATTTACTGCATATACAAGGTTGGAATTAAAAAAATGCGTATCTTCGAATTTTTCCTAATCGATGCCCTCTTATGGGTTTTGGCTTTAATTAATATATTGATGTGAAAAAATTAAGAATGGAATGAATGAACGAACGCATGAAAATTAAGTACTATGAAAACATCCGTGCGTAAGTTTTTTTTTGTACTCATGAAAATTATAAAAAGGAATTATTAAATGTAATCGAATATTATAAAAAGAAATTATTAAATGTGAATCGAATGTTTCTATGAAATAAACCTTGTTTAATCAGATTATTAATTATTAAATGCATTAGCCAAGTTCAAAAAAGCTTAAACCCCATTTAATATAATAACATAATCTATGTAATAATATAACTCGATTACTCGACATGAAATGCTTTTCATTGTAGGATTCAGATACAGTATTACTCATACGGTACTCATTTTTTGTACTGTACATCAAACCATTCAATTTAAGGCTAGTTTCAATTCGGCAACAAACATGTTATTGCTATTCTATAAACTTTTATGAACGGAAATACTCATAGATGTTTTCACCGAAGTATAAACAGCTCTAGCGGTCGAATAGAATCATTTCAGCGCAGTCTGAACCTACGGTCCAGTTTATAAAGAATGTTGTTCGAATCAATATACAATGACGGCGGCACCTGATCCACGCAAATTCTAAAAACAATATTAATATTGTTTCTGTGTAGAAAAAATAAATAGTTAAAATAAATAGAAACAAACCATCAAATAGAATGTATAATTGTGCATTCTGTAAAATATTAGTGACATTCTTCATTTTTATAGCACGCTGTGATAAATTTTCCGTGAGAAATAAAAAAAAAATAATAGCCTCAAACGGTAACAATAAAAGAAAAAAAAAATTAATATTGTTCAGGGCTCATCTTTCTAGCAAGTATTTTAACATGGTACTACAACTCGTGGATTTAATTAAACCTTTCTTTCCCTTCTTTGATGTCTACTACAAACCATTACACAGGAATTTATACGCGTGCAAATGCTCTTGTTTTACAATACGGATGTATGCGTACGAATACCTCATTTTTATTTTACTTATATAATAAAGTTCTGCTTCTTTTCTCTATATGTAAGTGTAAAAAAAGATCCCCCAAATAAGTCGGAATTTACCGACACACATTATATCAAAAGGCTCTGGGTACCCAGAATAAGTAAAAAAATTATATACTGTACATAAATAAGATTTTTTTTGTGCTTTAATACATTTATCGTATTTATAGCATGGAGGTTCTGAGATACCTCCTCTTGTAGATTTCACATTTTCTTTGATAAAATTCATTCCTTACATATTACATTATATTGATACTTTAAATTGACTAATTTAATATTCTGCTTGAGAGTGTAATTAAATAACTCTACTTGGATACTGTAACTAATTTAATACTTTTACTTGAGGGAAGGGGAGAGTGGGAATGCCGCCGATCCGGGAACATGCTGAAGAAGAAACGTCCAAATTATTAGATGATCGAAAACGTGGAGGAAAAAGGGCTCCTAGCATTAACACAAGGGCATCGCGCGTTGGAGTAACGAATTTTATTAACGTCATAAAATCTTTGCATCCCGGTCAATCGATCAGCTATTTCCCGATTACGAGGGAAACGCTTGAGGAATACATTGATGCTAAACGCAAGGCTCATATAAAATCAGGTTCTTTGGAACAATATTTACAGCACATCCAAGCCTATAACCTAGCACTTGGCTACGGCTGGGATGGCTCGGTGTTCGGCCCATTAATTAAGAAATCATTGGATGAGTTAAGACTTATAGAAGAGGAAGCTCTCGCATTAACACAATCCTTACAGACCGAAGTCTCGCTCGATTCCTCGAACGAGAACACGAACAGAATTTCCAACCTGATGGCTATTGATGAACACGCTAACATTGACGAAAACGAAAACATTGATGGTAAACCTCTATTTCATATACTTTTTTTATTACCGTAGCCATCTGAGAGCGATTTTTCATTATACCAGAAAATAATTCAAAGATAATATCATTGCTGTGCTTCGATGCTACAACAATTCTGGAACAACGTGCCAATATAAATCTCGATAATTTGAAGTATGCGGATCCATTGTTAAACTTACAACAGTTATACGACAATATTTCTTCTGCCACTGTGCCCCTTTCATGGGGAAGCGCGGACATTCTTCGGCTCTATTATCGAATTGGCACACGTGATGATTCACAACACTGTGAATTAAACGATGAATCTGCGTTCGTTCGTTTTTGGACAAGCTTTAATAAACGAGAAGATGTTCAATTGATTGTCTATCGTAAAAGTAATAATGATAGTTCCAAAGTTGGTGAGTTTACGCGATTATCGAAGCACCGCAGACCTGGAACATTGAGTCGCTCGTCAAATCTGTGTTACAAAAGCTCCTTATTTCGCACACAGAATCCCTACTAAAGCCCAACTTTTTTCCCTCCTTTCAACGCTTGATTAGTTGATCTTACCTCGAGACGATCGGAACCACTCCCGCCTTCTAAAACTTTAGACACTTTGCCCACTTTAAAATCTATCACCGTAAGATCTAAGTCTCGAGTATACAAAGAAAGAATTGCCGTATCTGATACTACGACTTTTTCCTCTTTGGTCTCCTTTGCGATTAGAATAACTCTTCCACCTGGAAAACAACTTGTTATTAGAGATACCGTTAGTGATTTGGAATACATGCCTGACGATCTTGTTAGAGAAGTGATCAAAGGTAATTAATAAATTACAATGTAATATCTAGATCTAGCGCGACACTAATAAACCCAATTTCGATAAAGGTGTCGAGCACGCTGACGTCACAGCCGCCATAGAAGACATCAATACTATAGATTTTAACTACTTTTGAGCAACTACAACGATACTACTATATTGTAATTTACTATACCTGTATGAACGTATTTTCACATAATCATTGTACACTATAAACAACTTATGAACATTCTTTTTTAATTATCTATGTTCCTTCTATGTGGTTATTATTATCAATTCGTGTAAATATTAAATTTTTTCCTGAAACAAACGCCCGTTTCATTATAAGCATATTCGCTTCTTTTTCTGGCACACAAAGGTTTTACTCTCGTTTATTACACTTTTCATCGCTTCCATCACCTTCATTTAATATAAATATTCAACATGCAATGACCCGAATAATTATATCTTCATGCCCCTTTTAATTACAATTTAATTTCATGTATGCAATTCCTCTCTCCATAATTAAGATTCATTGGAAAAGCCTTGTTGGTAATTTCTGGACGAATCCCGTTGTATCGAATAATATTAATGTAATTATAAATACCACGGTCATCTTTCTATCAACAGTAGGTTATTCCAATACCCTTCCATCTTTAAGTATGGCACACCTTTTATGTTTAATCTCTTTAACAATTTTGGGTTTTCTATGGCCAAGATAAATCGTTTTCAATAAAAATAATTTTAAAATAAGGATTTTTCTCAAAAAATTGTGACACCAAAAATAATGAAATGCCAAAGATTATATAGCAATAGATGCACGGTAATGAAATGCCAGAAATTATATAGCAATAGATGCACGGTAATGAAAAAGGTAAGACAAGAAAATCTATTTTAAATGACTTATTGGCGAGTTCTTTTTTTTTCCTAAATTAAATAAATCAATACGTCATAAATGATTTTGCTATATTGTACGCTGTATATTCTATATACAGTAATATGCGGTATCCATTCTAATTACCATTAAAATATGGTAAGGTGTAACGATGCTTTAAAAAAAAAAATGAAATATCAATTTCCCGCTGTACTATTGATTATAAACTTTTATATAAAAAATAAATACAGTAAAGAAACTTTTAATTGATCAATAAATCTCAGCTATATAACATTCTAAAATAAAAACCTACATATTTACATAAGATTGTTATATATTATTTCTATTTTTTTTAAAAAAAAAAAAAGTCAAAACTAATAGTAAAAAAAATGTTAAATTAAAATTGATCAATACAATATGCTAAATTTTTAAGAATATTCATAATTATTGCTGTTCTGAAATCAATAAGATTAAGCAAAAAAGTTAATAATAATTTAATTTAGTAATGTCAAAAATTTTTTAAAATATATATTGTTCTTACAGAACAAAAAAAATTATTTCTAAATAATAACATATACAGTGGTGGCAGATAATAATGACAATCAAATGACATGATTTAATTTGAGCTATTTTTATTGAAAATTTTTTAAACTTTGACTATAGATAGCCCGTAGTTAAAGATGGGTCCCTAAAGTATTTAGCATATAAAATTTACGTCCCTTTACGTCCATGTCCCCTAGAGAACATAATTCCTAGCTCTTTATTTCAATAGGGACATAATTCCAGAAATGATTTGTATAGATGCTTA